GTCTTCTAGTCCAACTCCCTGCTCAAGCAGTATACCAGGGGTTTTCACACTTGGCCCTTTTATGACTTGTGGACTTCAACTCCCAGAATTCCTCAGCCAGCCACAATCTCTTCTTAATAACCTCCAGTGATGGAGCACCCATTCTGGAGCAAGCCATTCCACTGGTTAATTGTTAATTGTTCTCACTCTAAGGAAATTTCTCCTTATTTCTAAATTGGTTCTGTCCTTGGTGAGTTTCATTCACTGCTTCTTGTCCTGCCTTCAGGTGCTTGGGAGAATTTGGTTGCTCTTTCTGGCAGCCCCTCAAATATTAGAACACCACTCTCATGTCATCCCTAGACCCTCTCTTCACTAAACTTGTTGTTGTTGTTGTTACTTGCGAAGTCATGTCCGACTCATCGTGACCCCATGGACAACATTCCTCCAGGCCTTCCTGTCCTCTACCATCTTCTGGAGTCCATTTAAGCTCACATCTACTGCTCCAGTGACTCCATCCAGCCACCTCATTCTTTGTCATCCCCTTCTTCTCTTGCCCTCAATCTTTCCCAGCATTAGGCTTCAGTGAGTCCTTCCTTCTCATTAGGTGGCCAAAGTACTTGAGTTTCAACTCTTCACTAAACTAGACATCCCCAATTCCTGCAACTGTTCTTCATATGTTTTAGCCTCCAGCCCTTTAATCATCTATGTTTCTCTTCTCTACACTTTTTATAGAGTCTCAACATCTTTTTTGTGCTTCTGATGCCTTTTGTGCAGTATGTTTAGAAAGTGGTCTAGGGACTATGGTTTGAGGCTACACTGTTGGACCTATTGTGTCTTCCAGAGTTTCATCTAATTGCTTATGCATTTCAATAGCTACATAAAATCATGGGAAAAGATTGTCCAGAGCTTTGGAATGATATACTGTTTTTTTCTTTTCATCCCCTTCTAAGGGATACTCTTGAACACTGCCCAGATTAAGTAAAGGAGTAGATAAAGGAGACCCAGCTGAAAATCAATCTAGATAAGTTGACAGCATTGTTGATAAATAAGAAGCTGGGTTCAGAAATTAAGGATTGACTGGTTGTGGGTGCGGTTGTATTTCTTCTGAAAGAGCGATCTGCAGTATTCCCTGACTTTCAGTTGTCGCTGGATTCACAGGTGGCAACAAAGGGTTTTGGGTTTTTTCCCTCACAACTAAGGCTAGTATGGCACTTGTAACTGTTTTGAAGCCAATCAATTTGGCTGTGAGCATGCATGTTTTGTTTATACTCTTTCAACATTATCACAATGTACTGTATGTGGAATTACCTTAGAAAAATATTCTGAAGTTCTAATTTTGCATTATGACCAGAACCATTTTTATAAACATGATACTCAAGACTTGCTTTTTGCTCTGTAATTACGTCTTCCCTTCCTCCTTGTTCTTCTTCTCCTTTCTCTTACTCTTTTCTCCTTCTCCTTCTCCTTCATAATGTACAAAGAAGCAAGAAAGTCAGGTGCAGAAAATATGACTAGCCAGCACTGGAGAGAAGCCCATGGGAACTACAATCCATTGCCTATCCTGGTTGAAATGACCACCTTCCAGCATGTTCCTTCAATGCAATGTAAATACACTGCATTTCTTTCAAAATGTAAATATGAGTATTGCTATCTCTCTTCCCCAAAATTGAACTAGTTCAGGGGTCTTCAAACTTGGCCCTTTTATGACATGTGGACTTCAACTCCCAGAATTCCTCAGCCAGGCACTCTGGCTGAGGAATTCTGGGAGTTGAAGTCCACAAACCATAGAAGGGCCAAGTATGAAGACCCCTGAACTAGATAATCCTTGTGAATAGAGTTGGATAGGAACCCTATTAAAGCAAAGAAAAATGGAAGATTGAGTATAAATGACTGATGTTGTAGTTGGGGGCTGTTTTTAGGACCCACAATAGGCTGTAACAGACTTATTACAAGAACAGAGGTTTACTATGGAGAAAAAAGTTAAATTAAGCATATCGGCAATGTATAGAAAAGAGAGAATGAGGGTGAAGAGATCCAGTTGAGAAGAGTGAGTATTTAATTTTATTATCCTTGCAATGTTCAAGTACCATGCATTTTTAGTATACTTGGAATTCTTAGAAATGGATATTTGAGAGGAAATGAATACTGTTTTGTAGAAAACCTGCTTTGAAGCTTCATAGATTTGGAAGTCTAACTGGTCATTAATCTTCTAAGGAAAAAAAATTCAAAAGCACTGCATAGTTCCGGTTTCCATTCCATCTCTGCCCAAAGGCCACTCATCCTCCTTTATTTATTCCCAATTTTGCAACTAGGAAGTCCCACTTCTTCTGCTCATAATTTTCAGTTATTCACATATAAACTAGGGCAATGTGAGGAAGGTTATAGAACACCTTCCTATATTTTTGTTCATAAATTGTAAAATACAGCACATTCTACAGTAGGGTGGGAAGAATTTCTATTTTGTGTCGGCAATAATGGTGTTGGAAGACAAATGGTAGAAGCATTCCTTTTGTTTCATTTGAAAGAGGGCAGGGAAAAAGTATTATATCAACCTCCTTTCAAAGACCACTTCATTTCTAGCTTAGTGCTACCATGCAGGTGTTGGACCACAGCTTCTATCACTGTAACCCTGTCCATAGTGGTAGTAACAATAACAACAACAACAACAATGTTGGAGGGGACCTTGGAGGTCATCTAGTTCAACCCCCTGCTCAGGCAGGAAACCCTATACCATTTCAGACAAAATAGTTGGTTTGATGAAAACACAGACAGATCATCAGTGGGCAGGATGGAGAGAGACAAATATAAACAAACGAAAAGGAACTCCACTTCTGTAGAATGCTGGAAAAATAGCATCAAGATAATTACAAACTTTAGAATGTTCTTATTAATGAACGGCGTGATGGCCTAGTGTACCTCAGCCTCACAGTCAAAGGCACCACAGCACTTGCAAGTTGGTGACCCAGTTTGGGCACGGAACTACGGGCAAGGGGCACTGTGGGCGGTAGCTGTGGTTTGTAAGGTGACTGGGCCACTTTCTTACGAAGTGGTCCTGAAAGATGGTCGCATGCTACGCAGGCACATCAACCAACTGCGGCAAAGGGTAGCAAACCAGCCAACAACTCATGACTCTAATGATAGTCTAGCTCATGATTCTTGTGACAGTCAAACTCAGGAGCAGCACGATGGCAGTAGTGCATTAGAATCTGCCAGTGATGGCGGAACTCTCCGACTAAGAGATGGGCTCTAGCGTCTGGTGAGTCAGACCCAAACACTGATACTTCAACCAATAGGCAATGCCAGCAGACGGCTTCATTTTCTGGACCGGTGGAGTCTGCTCCACCTTTGGACACTGGCTCAGGTCTACCAGGACAGACCAGCCACAGAGACTCGAATCTACCCGTAATGGACGGGTCCCCAAACCTGGCAGGCGAGCTCCACAGACGGGGGTCCTCCAGCAGTTCTGGGGCGTTCAGAACGGGCGAAAAGGCCACCAACACATTTAAAGGAATATGTTCAATAATTGTCCTTTTGAACTATCTAGGGCAGGGGTAGGCAACCTTGGCTCTTTTATGACTCATGGACTTCAACTCCCAGCACAGCTGGCTCAGGAATTCTGGGAGTTGAAGTCCATGAGTCATAAAAGAGCCAAGGTTGCCTACCCCGATCTAGGGGGAAGGGGTGTAATGTATTGATGTGAATTACTTGGAAATGTTGAAAAAACGGTCATAAGACTCTGTCAGTTAAGTGCCAGACTTTCTGTCTACAAGCTCATTAACTTGTGTTAAAGTGGGAAGTAGTGCTTGAATCCTATTGGCCTCCACCTTGTTGCTGAGTGTATAATTAGGGGTGGAGTGGCAGTTATCCAGGTTTAAACTTTTACTAAAGAGTTGTTTAACCTGCTGCCTCGTCGATGCCTCACCGAGCACCAAACATAAGATTTTCCATCTTGGACCAGTTCAAGTCACATTGTCTGGTTCCCATGCTGCATTTCTGGTTCCCATACTGCGTTTCGGTTGGTAAGGCTGTCTCTCTTCCAGTGTCATTCCACTGATACCTCTTCATACAACTTAAAACAAAAAATGCCCTGATTCATTAATAGAATAGAAAAAAAGATGGACTTAAAAAAAAAATCTCACAGATGAAATTGACGAGTGTTCTGCTATTTTTCTTTTCTAACTGCAGTAACAGGAAAAAAATGTTAATGATGTTTTCTCTGCTTTCTTCCTTTACCAGTTCAGGTGGGATAAAGAAGCAGCAGACTCCATCAACCATGATAAACATGGTCTGGACAGGACATGTCAAGAGGTTGATTCTCTTTTAGAGAGATTTCTTTTCTCCTTCCTTATTTTGAAGATGTCCTGCTGGTATTTTCAGCTAACTTAACTGATGGAGATGAAGGAAGTTGTTAATGCTGGTGTTGTGGCTTTCTGATATGCCTCTCTCCAGCCCTCTGAAAATTCTCTGGATGTTCACCTTCTCCATTTGGGGGGAAAAAAAGAATCGCAAGAAAACAACTAAGCTCAGAGAACACCAAGGACCTCTCATTTCAGCCCTAAGCTACAAAGACTTTCCTTTACTGGAGGGGTTCCTATCTTATGCCCTCTTTAGAAAGTTATCTTAAGCTCTTAGAAGGCTCAAAAATGATCCAATGGCCTTTGGTCACCTCATAATTGAGCACTGCAGACTCGGGCATCAGCATTGCCCACAAAACTCTTCTTTTTCAGGGAAAGAAACCTTGCAAACCAATTCACTTTCATCCAGAGAAACCAGGCTAGAAGGAAAGAAAAGCAGGATAATGTTTCCACATGGCACTTCCCACATGGCCCGGGGGAAGGAGGGGCCATACCACGCAGGGGTCCAGAGATAGTTGAGGAATGAGCTGTTGACTAAGAAGGGACTCTCAGAGCCAACAGTCTTTGCTTGCTGCGAAGCTACCAGTTGCTGGGTGAAACCTGAAACCTGCTTGGACGTGGGGGGGGGGGGGAGGTTGGCCTTGCCCACTTACTAGCCTGTTGTGTTATATCTTCACACATTTTGGACCCGCCTCAGCTGTGAATTCTGAGCCTCACTCATTCAAGTACAGCTGGAGCTCAGCATTGAGAGTTTGACGTTTGGTGTCAGCGTTCAACAGGAGGAACCAACAACTTTACACAACAGTGTCAGCCCTTATTTAGCCTGTCTGCGTTTCCTTTTTGAAACTGGAGTTGCAGGGACCTTCACTTTGATTTGAATATTATCTTGCCTTCTGGAGAGGTTTTTTTTTTTTCCTTTTCCGTTCTGCTTTTTCATCTTTGAAACGAAGGCTCTGGTTTGGAATTAGTGCCTGCACGGATCAGTTCAGCTGCTAGGAACAGGGTAAGTGGCATTAAAATACCATTCGCTTCAAGTGACCGAATACCAGCAAAAGAATATGATCTTCCAGCAGGTCGAACTCCCTCACTGCTGATACAACAGCTTCTTTCTAATGCAATGTTGGAGAAGTTGCAGTAGGAGTTTAAAGGCTTCTCTAGGGTGATCTACATTTTGATGAAAGAAACTTGAGTAGTAACGCTTCTTGGTTTTTTGTCTTCTCTGAAAGTTAGAATTGGAGTTCATATCTAAATGGGGGGGGGGGGAATCTATAAAATCTTCTGTCCTAAATTTCTTAAATTAAGAAGACTTGCCATTTCTTCAGCCTCATCCTTAGCATGTTCTTATTCCAAAGCAACACCTGTAGGAAACGTCTCAAGCATTTTGAGCATCACTAGAGTTGGTTTTCTGATAATTCCTCCAATTATAATTTGCCAATTATAATGGCAAAAGTCTTCTATACTTCTATACTGGCACCAAATCAGTTCTTTTCAATTAACTCTTCAAAATCTCTGCCATGTAATTCGGATGACAAATTATTTATTTACTTTTTTTTTTTTTTAAAGGAGAGAGTGTTTTCTGTTTAAGGTGAGATTAGGTTTTGAGATGCGGTTAGTTAAATGTCAAGTGGGGCGAGAGATAAATCTTTTCAAACAATACTTCTCTTTAGGAAACAAAATGTGAAGGTTTTCATGAACTCCTTCAAAGTGTTTTCATGTATTCTGACAATTCAGTTAACACATGTTTATTCAGTTCTAAAACGTACAGTGGTTTTTTTTAATCAGGCAAATGTGTGTGAGTATGGCATTGATTCTCTCTGCTATGTGATGGTATGGTTCCGTCTATATTTTTCAAGTTTCTTGTTCATTTCTATTTGGCTTCTATTTTACTTTCAGGAGAAATACATTTGTAGACCAAATGACCGAAGACACCCATAGAATTAACAAGTTAGAAGGGACCGTGAGCATCTCCTAGTCTAGGGGTCTCCAAACTTGGCAACTTCAAGACTTGTGGATTTTAACTCCCAGATCTTCTCAGCAAGCTGTGCTAGCTGGAGAATTCTGGGAGCTGAAGTCCACAAGTTTTAAAGCTTGGCGACTGATTCATATTTACGACAGCTGCAGTGTCCCGGGTCACGTGATCACCTTTTGAGACCTTCTGACAAGCAAAGTCAGTGGGGAAGCCAGATTCACTTAACAAATATGGCAAGAGAGGTGGTAAAATGGGGGCAAAACTCACTTAGCAAATGTCTCGTTTAGCAACAAAAATTTGGGGCTCAGTTGTGGTTATAAGTAGAAGACTGCCTGCAGTTTGATCAAAGCGACTAATTGGGAGTGTATAGATTTGCATATGAACTTGTCCTTGAAAGACAAGTTATAGCAATGGTTCTCAACCTGTGGGTCGGGACCCCATTTGGGGTCGAATGACCATTTCACGGGGGTCGCCAAACAACGCAGTCCGCCATTTTTTCCCCCTTTTCCTTAGCTGTGCTACTCCCTTTTATTCTATTGGCTTTTGAAAGCCAATAGAATAGACTCTCTTGAATAGAGTCTAATTCTATTGGCTTTCAAAAGCCAATAGGAATTGTCCAGGCTGTCTCTGCCCTGCTGAGCCCACCAAAAGTCCCATTCTGCAAACGGTGCTGCACCAGTTGAATAGTCCTCGACTTATGACCGGTTGGGGGTCGTGGCATTAAAAAGGTTGAGAACCACTGAGTTATAGGGTTTTACATGACAGATTTGTACCCGTGTTGTCTTGTTTTTAATGTTGCATTTCTGTTTTGGGGCGAAAGGGTTCCCTTCTCAGACAATGAGGAAATCCCTGAAAAAGTATATGGGAGGCTTATATGAAAGCTGGAGACCAGTGGCATTTTGAAAGCCCACCTTAAACTTGTGAATGAGATATTCTCCAACATTTTTTCAAGGGGTAGGGTGGTGACAATATAATTACTGTGAATGAATTCCTCAAGCACATTTTCTATGGTTAACCCACCACCACTTTGAACATTTCCTCCCAATTCTTCCTCCCCCCCACCTTCAAAGAAATTTAAAAGCCCAGCTTCCATTCATCAAATGGAGTGAGGACTGTTAGGAAAAACACAGAATTTCTCTGCCCAACACCAGAATAAATAGCGCAGTGGTTCTCAACCTGTGGGTCGGGATCCCATTTGGGGTTGAACGACCATTTCACGGGGGTCGCCAAACAACGCAGTCCGCCATTTTTTCCCCCTTTTCCTTAGCTGTGCTATTCCCTTTTATTCTATTGGCTTTTGAAAGGAAACCCTAGGCCAGGGGTCTTCAAACGTGGCCCTTTTATGACTTGTGGACTTCAACTCCCAGAATTCCCCAGCCCGCGTGCCTGGCTGAGGAATTCTGAGAGTTGAAGTCCACAAGTCATAAAAAGGCCAAGTTTGAAGACCCCTGTTCTGGAGCAATCATTGCATGCCACCTTCCCATGAAAAATCCTGTACTTCTCAACCTGCCTTCCTCTACTTGATGCCTTCAGATGGATCTATCTTTGCTAGCTTAGGGACATGGAGTTTCAGGAGGATACCCAATGCCAGGAAGCTTTCTGTAGTAGATCAATCCAGTTCAATCAATCTGTTCTTAGGGGTTATTGGCTGTGAGAACATAAAAAAGAGAAAGTAGCTCATTGCAGGTGGCACAAATTGCATGCAGTTTGCTAGACTGTCTCCCTTTCTCACAGACCCATGATTCCTCAACCCTAACTAATTTATTTGTTAGCCTGCTGAAGTATGCTTTATCCCCAAATTATTAAAGCATAAGCATAGGTTACTTTGCTGATACATATTCTGAAAATGCTCAGCATCTTTATTGCTTGGCATTTCAGCTCTGCAAACCCTTTTCCCTTCTAACCATTGTTGCCCTTGAAAAGTGTTAATGACTAAAAAGCACAGTGAAAGGACACCTGACCTGCAGGGGGTTCTGGATTACTGAATTAACCACTTCCCCTTTCTCTCCCCCCTATTTCCCCCCCCCCTTTTTGGCCTTACGGAAAAAGAGAACAGGTGGCAGATGTGCCATCAAACGAAAAGGAAAGGCAGGTTAAAGACATTTGCATAATTTTCTCTAGCTGAGTTGAAAAACACAACTGTAATGAATCTGCCAGTAAGAGTGCACCAGCCCAGTGTGTTGATTTCCTGGCCTTGCCTCTCCCCCACTTTCCACATTTAGTTATGCTGATTGAGTAGCATTAATATGTGAGAAGCATTTGACTGAAGGAGGTGCTAATTGTCCACGGGAATAAGGAATCTGTAACCTGTCATCCCTTGTTAGTTCTACAGAAAAAATTTGTGATCTAGCTTAATCCGTGAAGCTGTAAAGGTTAGAAAGACAAGGAATAATCCACGGGGTCAACTGCCACGTGTGTTCCTCCATGAACAAGGATGCCAACAGCATATATCAAACAGCCTTCTACCAAATCACATCATCATTCTTCTCAGTCAGCTAGTAATAATTATTTGGGGGAAGGGGGGGATTTCAGGTTTGTGAGATGTATCTTATATTTTATTAGACCTCTGGATTCTGGCCATTGCCACAGGAAAAAAATGATGCTTTTACCAACAGAGATGTCCTCAAACTGATTTCATCCCAATGGGCTGGACTTTAGTCCCATAATTCCCGCTATAACGTCCTGCAGAAATCTTTGAAATAATTATGTTCACTATTTTTGCACATCAATCTGTAAAATGAGTCTGTGGATTGGTTCACTGGTGCAAATCACTAAGATTTCCTTAGGAGGTCTGGATTCTTCTCTTCTGGAATAGAGGATCAGATTGCTTATTTGTTATTCTTTCAATGAACTATCAGCCATTTCTATTTTGCCTGTTGTTGTTAATTGCGAAGTCGTGTCTGACCCATCGCGACCCCATGGACAATGTTCCTCCAGGTCTTCCTGTCCTCTACCATCTTCTGGAGTCCATTTAAGTTCACACTTACTGCTTCAGTGACTCCATCCAGCCACCTCATTTCTGTCATCCCCTTCTTCTATGCCCTCAATCTTTCCCAGCATTAGGCCCTTCTCCAGTGAGTCCTTCCTTCTCATTAGGTGGCCAAAGTATTTGAGTTTCAACTTCAGGATCTGGCCTTCTAAAGAGCAGTCGGGGTTGATCTCTTCTAGGACTGACCAGTTTGAACGCCTTGCAGTCCAAGGGACTCGCAGGAGTCTTCTCCAGCACCCCTTTATGGATTACTGCCTTGTCATGGCGAAGGGGCTTGTGTAACTCAATGAAGCTATAAGCTATGCCGTGCAGGGCCACCCAAGACGGACAGGTCATAGCAGAGAGTTCTGACAAAATGTGATCCACTGGAGAAGGAAATGGCAAACCACTCCAGTATCTTTGCCATGAAAACCCCAGGGACAGTACTATTTTGCCTAGGCAGAGTATAAAATATGATAAAAATAACACACTGTGGAATTATTTGATCCCAAACACAATAAATAGAAAAGCAACAATGAGTTACAAACAGGCTAAAATTAGAATTAGAAATTGTTCAATACTAGCATTTCTTGGGAAAAGAATGACAAAAGTAATTGATGATCAAATAAATCCCGTCCCTGAGAAAAGTTAACCTGACATGAGGGATCTTTGATGCTCTCTGAGCTTGGTTGTTTTCTTGCAGATGTTCATTACCCAACTTGGTAACATCATCAGTGCTAATAAGGAGTGGGTTTGTTTTTAGTTTTAGCTTGCCCTGTCAGTTTTGGTGAGGGTGGTCTTAGGTGTCCTTTTGTTGGACTGTTTACTGTTAGTTTTTTTAGAAGTACCTTGATTGGGGCATTGTTTACTTGATTGTTGGTCTAATGCTAATCTTGGAGTTAATCTATACTCAACTGAGTGCTGATTGCTGGTGGGGAGGTGTTTTGGTCTTTTTGTTCCTTTTTTGGCTTGTAGATTGTGTCTTTTTCATAGTGTGTAGATACTGTTTATGTCTATATGTCTATGATAGCTAATCTATCATAGTGCCAGGTTTCTAGAAATTCCC